TGCTACGTTAACAAAGATTGCTTCTAATAAAAGAGGGTTTCAGGGTTTGCTCTGGGCTCTCATCCCGAGACAGCCTTGCGTTGTGTCTTCTTTTCATGAGAGACCACCACAGTGGTAATTTGTGCATTCTGCCTTTACCTGTTGACATAGGGTATTATATTGGTTTTTAAAGTTTGTTATGTAGCTAGTTTTGTTTTTACACCATAGCAATCTTTTTTTTGATTGACGTTTCTTTATTGTTATGGGTAATTTGTTTTTTGGGGGGGTTTATTAATGGTACATATAGTTTAATGACTCTTTCAAGTTCAAACAAGAATGCATTATAATGGTCTTCTGTAGTATTACAGCTAGAGAACAGAATGTGCCAATCAACAGATGATAGGTCAGCATCTATGAGATTATAGTTGGCTTTTTTGAAGTTGTATTTTGGGGATCCATCTTTATGATCTTTATGAGGGCATAAATTGAGACAAAAGTCATTTTCATATAACATTAAATATATGTTTTCTTTTAGAATGATGATTCAAAGCAAACATCCCGTAGAAATGAGAATGATGAGGACCCCCATGCTTATAAAAGAGATGAAACTGATCGTTCAATAATGCTGTTCAAGCCAATGGTGTCAGATCCAATTCATATACATAGGAAATCACCTCTTTCAAGACCCAGGAAAATGGGTTCAGCAGAAGTAAGTATAGATATCCCAGTAATTTTTTAAAAAAATTAGAGTTCTTCCCCAACTAATCAATATAATTGATTTTGGTGATACTGCACAATTAGTAAACATACTAATATAGTGATTAGTTGATTGATTATGTACCATCAAATCGCTATCAATTCCTAGCAACCATAAAGATAGATCTTCTCCATGACAGTCTATCCACAACATGGCCTTTGAGATTTTACAAGGGTGCACACATTCCCACAATAATCTTATATACAGTTTACTTAACTATAATATTATACAGTCAAGAAGACAGTCAAGGAATGAAGGGAAAACAATTTTTTAAACAGTTTATGTAGAGAAAGTCTACATATCTCTGAACAACAATTATAAAACAGAATTAGTGAACCTTGTGTAGATTTCTGGAAACTAGTAGGCCATGAGACCTACTAACATAATTAGATAAAATGGGACTATTTGGTCTGTGGTCTATGACTGTAATAAACTGAATTGAATTGGGAATATTCAATCAGTGTTTCTGGCTCTATAAAACAGGCAACACTGTAATACATGCATAACTTGCTCAATTTCCTTCACCAGGTATGACATGAATACTCTTGCACCAGAAGGTTATATTCCCTTCCATTCCTTGTCCCTAATTAGGTTTTTAAAAATTAATTCAGAAGTCTTTTATATTGTGATGATGTCATCTTTCTTGATTGCTTGGCTGATTATTTCTACTATGTTTTATTTTTTTTGGTTTAATTTTTTAAAGATTATTTACAATTGCTTACTTAATTTAGTTTTGTACCATGGATGTTTTAATGACATGATTATAACCTGCTGACTGAGACAGAAATGCAGTATTAATAGACTGAAAGTTCTTTTGGGAAGAACTTCCCAACTACTGTCATAGTTTTTGGATGATGTTCTAATTTTTTTCTGGTAATCATTGCCAAATAATCTATACTTACTTCAGTTCCATTTTAACTCAAAACTAAAGAAAGCCAAGTATTGGGCATAAATGAAAATAAATTTCAGCCATAATTTTAAATTATAGAACGGCATGTGAACCTATAGTGAACATAATCCTGATTCTACATGCAATAAAAAATTGAGATATTTCTTGACATTTGGAATGTGGATTAGCAAAAATTGTAACATGAGGTGGTCTGATTCAGGAAGAAAGATTTGCTATAATTAATATTTCAGTGGCTGAAGAAAAAGACCTAAAGAACAACACATCCTGTATGTTAATATTTCACATTTTTATTCTGAGGAAGGAGTAATATTAGTAGAACAGTAATTCCAAAAATATTTGGCAACTTTATATAACTGAATTTTTAGATTTTTAACTGGTTTAAGTAGGCATGCTGCAAGCAGTTTGGTGCAATCGTTAAGATATCAGGCTAGAAAGCCAGAGTTTGAGTTCTACGTAGTCCCTCTTTAGGCCCAAAGTCAGCTGGTTGACCTTAGGACAGTCCTTCCCTCTCAGCCTATGGAAGCAAGCAGTAGCAAACCACTTCTGAAACATCTTGCCAAGAAAACTGCAGGGACTAGACCAGGCAGTTGCAAGTGGTCAAAAAATGACTTGAAGAGGAGAAAAAAAACCCAAACAGCTAAGAGTAATTAGCATTGTTTATCTAGGAAAAACTAGGCAGAGGTCTTTAAACTTGACAGCTTTAAGACTTGTAGACTTCAATTCCCAGAATTCCTCCTCCAGTCATGTTAGCTTGGGAATTCTGGGAGTTGTCCACAAGTCTTAAACTTGCCAAGTTTGAAGACCCTTGAACTAAGGCACTAGATAATCTGGAAGTAGTGGTTTGACAGCAAACCTCCTTGCTTCTGCTTTGTACTCCACAGCAGAAGTGTTTAGTACTCCAAATTGTCCATGTGTGTTTCTTCTAGCATGACTTGAACTATAGAAAATCTTCCTTTGTCTGCTGTAGGTCTTAAGATTCCTCTCAGTCTTTTTTTAAAAAGTATATTCTGCTTTCTTCAAGTTCTGCCAGCCTATTAAGTCTGTTAGTAACCATTATAAGAGCACTAGCTCAAATTTGGCAGAGATAAAATTGCTTAAACAATGCTGAAGTGTAGCAAAAATATGAAGAATTGATGTTCCTCTTGGCATTTGTTGTCATAGCTATCCTGTCTTTGGTCATCAGATAAGTTACCTTCAGTGGCATCCACAGTGACAATCACTAGCTTCAAAATAATAGCCCTGCCCCCTTTTAATGTTTGAACCATTGCACACATCCATTTTAGAGCCAGTTGCTGCAGACATCTCCTAATCCTTACTGTAGGATCTCTTCCTTCTGTCAATGGACAATTCAATGTTAGCTCCAGGAAATCAGGATTCACAGGCCACTTAATGTGAAATCTTGTGACATAAACTTCTATTTCCCAACAATTGCTGTACATAATGTATATCTTGTTATTTTGAACCCTTCCACTTTCATCTAGCATTTGCACTGAATTGACACAAGAA